TGCTGATCTGATTTCCAACCTCCCCTTTCTTTCTCCCAGGCCTGCTCTTTTCTTTGCTCCTTCCCTTCTGTTTTCATTCTCATTGGTTTCAGTATAAGAGCGGTGCTTAATGAGCAATTGCTTTTTTAGAATGTCATGGTTAATAATGAGCATGAGATGTGAAGTCAAACAGAGATAGGCTTGAATTTCAGCTTCACCGCCCACTGGTCATGCAGCCAAAGGCAGGGTAATCGGAGTCTCTCTCTTCGTCCTTTTCTGAGGGTAAGAACACCTCTCTTGCACAGTCATAGAGAGAATGAGATGAGGTAATGTATGACAGCCCGTGTCCCATTGTTGAGACTGTTGGAGCTCAAACATGGCAGTTTTCGTTCTTATTATCTAGACTGATGTCTTTAACTGTGGCATAATCTGTCCTCACTTTCTTGTAGTTTCTAAAGCTGGCCAAGACTTTCCTGGCTTCACAGGCTTGGTGAATGCCATATGCCGTTCTCTTAACCCTAGAGAGCTTCTGTTCTTTTTGCTTAATTGGGTCTTCTGTCATCAATCCCCAAGTCTAGGCTTAAGCATCACCTCCCTAAAGGGCCCATTGTGTCTCTCCATTCTCCAATATTATCCACATCCCCCTTTATTCTCTGTCACCACCCTTGGCTATCATAGGATTAACAACCATGCTGAATAATTTAAATAGTTCACTTCTGTTCTTCCCTCACTGGAATGTAGGCTTCAGGAAAACAGGGACCACTGTCTTCTCAGTGACTAGGACTGGCTGACACATAGTTGATATATGGTATTTGTTGGAGATATGGTTTTTCATATCACATACAATTTCCCCTCAACCCTCACTGCTATGGTTTGAATGTCTGTCCCCCCTGAAACTCATGTTGAAACTTAATCCCCAGCATGGAAGGGTGGAGAGGTGGGGCCTTTAAGAGGCGTCATGAGGGCTTTGGATCATGAGGGCTCTGCCTTTATAAATGGATTACTCCATTCATGGATGACTGGACCCAAGGGTTAGTGGGTTATTATGGGAGTTGGCTGGTGACTTTATAAGAAGAGGAAGAGGCCAGGCGTGGTGGCTCATGCCTACACTCTCAGCACTTTGGGAGGTCAGGAGTTTGAGACTAGCCTAGGCGACATAGCAAGACCCTGTCTCTAAAATAAATAAATAAATAAAGAGGAGGAAGAACTAGTATGCTTAGCCCTCTTGCCAGGTGATTCCCTGCCCCACCTCAGGACTCGTGTGTAAGACCAGCAAGAAGGACCTCACCACATGTGACCCCTTGACCTTGGACTTCTCAGCTTCCATAACTGTAAGAAATAAATTTATTTTCTTTATAAATTACCCAGTTTCAGGTATTCTGTTACAAGCATCAGAAAGCAGACTGAGACACTCACCAACAGTCATTTTCTTCACTTCCGACCTTTCTCCCTCTAAAACTGAGAATTTCTGCTTTAAATACTGAAGGCAACACCCATAGAGGAAGGCGCAACACCGTTTTCTAGAATGGTCCCCAGTGTTTCTCAGTGGTATCACTTTGGGCAGGAAAACTTTTTGTTGTGTCGGATTAACCCATACCCTGCAGTATGTTTAATGTTCCTGGCCCCCTCCAAGTCATTGGGAGAATCCAAAACACATTTCCAAATGCCCCATAGGGTGTGGTACAGTCTCCATTGAAAATCACGGATCTTTTAAACTTTGGGCACTTCACGAATGTTATAAGTATTCAAGAAAATTATCTGAAACTCAGAAGTTGGGTCAACTCCTCTCCTCCTCTTTGTCTCAACACATCACTCTTGCCAAGCCTGCTGCTATTTCAAAGCAAAAGGCAATGGAGAGAATGTGTTGATGTGTTTTAATGCTAAGAACAGCAGTCAGATACGTGTCGTCAAAACAAATCTTGTGTGTATTTCCTATATTCTTTTGTGGAGGTGATAGACTCTCACTGAATCATCCAAAGGACACTGGGGGTAGGCTCAGATTCTAATCCAAGATTAAACCCAGATGCACTGTCTCCAAAGAGAATTAAGAGTGAAATCTACAAGTTTATACATCTGACAGAGCTGAATTCTGAAAGGGTTTCTCAAGGGCATTGTAGAAGAGCATTTCATATTCCACGTTATCTTACTGCCCCTGGACTATCAAAATGGGGAAGGATCAATAGATATTTTCAGTGCCACTGATCAATGTTAAGTTCATTATGGTTATCTGTGCTCATAATGACTATATTCACTGGTGTAAGACATTGTATTGACTACAAAACAATGTAAGAAATGTACTTGGTCCACTGATAAGCTCATCTAGCAATAAATAATTCAGCCTAGTGGACAGGTAGTATCCTGGGTAAGGCTTATCTTGATCTGCTCTGCCCTTCTGCCACTGGTAAATGAAAGAAAATTAAGTCTGTTGTCTTTAAGAAGTGATAATGAGCAAGGAGAGTTGGGCTTAGCATGTATTCACTCAATTTTCATTAATTCACTAAAAAAAAAATTCTAGGTCAGGCACGGTGATTCATACCTGTACTCCCAGCACTTTGGAAGGCCTAGGTAAGGGGTTTGCTTGGGCCCAGGAGTTCAAGACCAGCATAGACAACATAGTGAGACCTCGTCTCTATCAAAAAAAAAAAAAAAAGCCAGGCATAGTGGCACATACCTGTAGTCCCAGCTACTTGAGAGGCTAAGGCAGAAGGATTGCCTGAGTCCAAGAGGTCCAGGCTGCAGTGAGCCATGATCATGCCACTGTGCTCTAGCCTGGGCAACAGGGTGGGACCCTGACTCAAAAAAATAAAAAATAATAAAAAATTAAAAAATCTGTTTGCTACTTTTCCTCTTACTATAGAGAAGTTATTCCTGGAAAGCATTCATTGAACAAGGAATTCGTTGTTTAGAATTTGGAGTTTGACAAATCAAACTGCTTTTCTCCTAATAGTAGCATGACTTTTGGTAAATTCCTGGAACTTTCCAATTCTCAGATCCTTTATCTGTAAAATGGAGATTATATAGCACTATACACCTCACTGGACTGCTGTGGGAATTAAATGAACAAATACGTAGGAAGCACTTTCACACACCAGCCTGGCACACACAACTAGAATTCAAAAACTGCCAACTCATTTTAGTAGCAGGGCACACTTTTCTTTTTTCTACTCCAAAGTGGCACAAGGATGGAGGTGGAAGGGGAACAGCAGTAGAAAAGACCCAAAGAAATTCTGAGGAGGGAATATGAAGAGAGAGAGAGAGAAACATCAGAGGTAAGGGGCTCGCCAAACTTCTGAGCTGAAAGATGAGTTGGGTTTTGCATTGTTTTCTGGGTTCTGTGCTTACGTATCAAAAGTTTTTCTTCTTTGGAAATGGACTGCATCTCCATTCCCTGTGAGATAATGGGAACAAATAAGGGCTTGCCTTATTAACAAGCATGAAGAAGCACCTTCTCTGATATGACTCCATGTTAGTGCTAAACAAACGGTGGTCTGGAAACTTCGTTACTAGAACTCAGGGCAAAGTCCAGAACTCAGGGCAAAGTGCAGAAATTGAGAGCCAGTGTTTAGAAACCTTGAGTGTAACTTGACAGAGTTGTTTTATGAATTTAATATAAATAGGAATGTATATTTTCTTATCTGTTATTTCAATGAGCTAATAATTTACTTTTTTCTGAATTAGTTTTTTTCCACCTAGTAATTCACTTTTATTTTGCTTTATAGATCCACAATAGATTAACATTTTAAAAACCAGTCTTTCACTGCTGATAGTTTGAGAAACACTACTTTAGAAAATATACAGTCCGGGTGTGATGACTAAAGTCTGTAATCCCAGCACTTTGGGAGGCCGAAACCAGAGGATTTCCTGAGCCCCAGGATTCGAGACCCGCCGGGGCAACTTGGTGAGCCCTCATCTCCACAATAAATCAAAAAATTAGCCGGGCGTGGTAGCACACGCTTGTAGTTCCAGCTACTTGAAAGGCTGAGGCGGAAGGATTGTGGAGCTGAGGGCTCACAAAGTGCACTGGCTGGTATCGGCCACTGCACTCCAGTCTGGGCGACAGAGTGAGACTCCAACTCAAAAAAATAAAAAATAAAAATAAATAACAATTAAATATGTATAGAAAAAAACCAAATTAATATACAAAAAATTAACAATGCTATATCGGGAGTGTTAGGTTTATGAGGCACATTACTTTTTTTTTTTTAATCAGAGTCTCACTCTTTCGCCCAGGCTGGAATGCAGTTGGCATGATACCAGTTACTGCAGCCTCAACCTGCTGGGCTCAGGCGATGCCTTCCAACTAGCTGGAAGCACAGGCAAGCACCACCTGATTTATTGCAGAGATGAGGTCTCGCCTAGTTGCCCAGGCTGGTCTCGAACCCCTGGACTCAGGCAGTCCTCTTGCCTCCACCTCCCAAATGCTGGGATTACAGGCATGAGCCACTGCACACCTGGCCAGTTACGTTTTTATGTTGTATATTATTTTGTGTCTGCATTTAAAATGTCATATAAGTATATGATATTTTGTAATAAGTAAAAGTTTACATGTTGAATAATTTACCTTTGTCACTCTTTGGGTTTTAATAAACAATGTGATTTTAATTGGTTTAATACCAAGATGGCTGAGAGATGTTTTTCAAAGAGAGAGGGGAGCTATGCAGGCCTGTTGGGTTTCTGTTTCTCTACCTTCTTTTCCTGTTGGCAGGCAAGTTCTATTTGCCCTTTCAAGGCATACTTGGAAATTCTTGGCATACTATTTCTTGAGCAGGAAAAGATTATTTTTTACGAAAGTTACATGTATGGAAATACTAAGATCTTCCCACATTTCACTCCCCACTCCCCCTCCCCATTGTGCAGGATAAAAAGATGCCAGACGAAATATTTTCTTAAATGCAAAAACACTGTTTGCCAATCAGTGAAATTAGGATAAGTTATTTCCTGTAAATAAACAATATTCTCAAGATTAAAAATTTTAAAAGTTCTCAGTGATCCTCAGCAAGACAATTAACTACCGTATTTCATCAATTCTAAGACGACTTTATTATAAGATACAGCATTATTTTTATGTACCATTAAGAAAGAAAAACACTGCCAATTCACCTAGGAATGCCATCAATCAAAAGATGAACCCTGTTTTCAGACGTAAATATGATAAAACGTACATCTTGGAATCAATAAAATACGGTAATATCAGAAATAAAAATGTGAAATCTTGTCCAACATGCTCACTTGAAGTAGAGCCCTTCAGACAGCTTTGTATGAACCCTAAACACAAACAGAAGAATACATAAACATTTTCAGTAGCACACCTTTCCTTTATTGACCTATGTAAAAAAATAATAGGTCCTAAAAAGTTAGAACAATAAAAGAATATGCAAAAAGGTTATTTCTGTTTCTAGAAGGCTATACAAATATGCAAAAAGAAATAAGTTATTTTTTTGCCTGTCTTTTTTTCCAAATTTTTTTCCCCAAACTTCATTTCTAATGATACAAATGACTAAGGACCAGTTTAACAAACCATTTTTATGTATATATTACATGCTTTGGAATATAGATAGAAAATGTTCCAAAAAAGTTGTTCAGAAACTTTTCTATTCACAATATGAACAAGAATCTTGTATAAAAGAGGGGAAAGGAGCACCTTTTTATGAAATTTTGAAGCAAAGATAGCAAAAAGAGATCAATCTAGAATATGGAAATCATTTGCTCTAAAAAACAAACCAAAAAACCCTACAATAAACCATAGTTAATTAGTTCTTCCAAGGAAAGTATGAGGTAGTTTTAGCCTCATAATTAAATCTACTGCAGCTTGGAGGTTTTTTCATTTTGTTTTGTTTTAACTGCTAAATCTTGTTTTTGTCACTTGGTGACTCAGAACAAATTGTGGAATCCAGGCATTATGTTTAATTTTGTAATGTTCACCATTTTAAGGCACTCAATTCATCTAAAATGCCATGACTTTGTTTTGTTGTTGTTATTGTTGTTGTTGTTTTGGGTGCTTTCTGTATCATCTTAAAATACTTTTCCTACTCATAATTATAAAAACTTTCCATACTAAGTTTGTCACTTCAAACAATAACCATCATGCAATTAGTGAAGAAAGAAAGAAAAAAGGAGCTCAATAATATTGTACCTTAAAAAATTCTCCAAGCAGAGTTTGTCAATTATTCAGTGGACTGCTTCATTTTTCCCCAATCTGCTACCATAAGTTATATTACAGGATGCTTCAATAATAAGTCTTTCCAGAACCCATTTCATGGTACTTATGAAAAACATCACTATAATATCCTTATAAAAAACATTTACACTCATTCAGAACTTCATGAAAATCCAATTTCTCTTCAAGTAATTTTCAAATACTGTCTAAATAATCCATGTCCATGTAGAAATAGTATGTTATTCTTTGTTGGCTCACGAATTCAAACTTTGTGATGGTGAGCAATGACACAGACGCTTCTGGTTTCCCTTCTCGCATCATTCTGAATTGTGCTCGAAATTTCCCATCCTTATTCCTGCCTGCGGACACCCTGAACGTATTTTTACAGTTTAGAGGTTTGCCTTCAACAACTTTTATTCCCTAAAAAAGTGCTTGCTATTGATAAAGGCTTCAAACTGAGTCCTCTCTTGACAATGGTTCAGTACGTGGTCAGATCTTGCTGTTGGGTTAGCGTCTGGAGTTTGAAAGGCAAGTCCTCCTTCAGGGGCTCTGTAGGGCTTAGTGTGTGATTCAGTTCCGGAGAAACCTAAATCTTCTCTTCAACCTTTGATGCTGTTAGGTTTCTAAAGCCGACCACCTTCTGGGAAGACATACATTTTGCAAGGCACACTAGTGTGAGAACGCAGTGCTCGGTCAAGAGGTCCGACTGCAGTTCAGACTAATGTTCCAGGCTTTGAATCCTCATGCCAAAAGAGCCTCTGCTCACTACTCTCCAGGCTGTCTTCCAATCGGTTTCCATCTGTACCGTCCAGTTGACTGATCTCCGTGTACTGTCTATGAGAGAAAAGTAGAAATGTTACTATTTGTGGTCATTTTTGTTCCTTCAACACAAAGACTACTACATTTAAAGAAGTTAGTAGTAAGCACTGTTAAGAAAAATTTTCCAAAACCTAAAGATAAGGCAGAGAATGACTACAAGTTCTTTAGATGTCATATTGGAGGCATTGTCTAAAAGGCCCATAAAAGAATTATTTAATTCTCTAGGGAGATATACCTTTGTTTAACTTACATTCACCATTGATTAGGACCAAGATTATATTAAGTCACACATTAACTTGTGGGTTTTTGTCTGGAAGAAATACAAATATCTTCTGTCTAGTAGAAAAGACTATGGTTACAGTTTTATTACCATGTAGGCCATTAACTGTTTTATATCTTAATTAGTAATCTTATTCCAACATTCTCTCTTTCAATGTCTTGAATTCTCTTTGAACCAGCTTTATCCCTGTATTAGTGAGTTAAACAAATCTTTGGCACATGCCCACTTTTTATTTGTATGAAGGTCAAATGTGTATATTTATTTTGAGTTGAAGTCTCACTCTGTTGCCCAGGCTGGAGTGCAATAGCACACTCATGGTACTACAGCCTCAACCTGCTGGGCTCAGGTGATCCTTCTGCCTTGGCCTTCCAAGTAGCTGGAATCACAGGGATGCACCACCACACCTGGCTAATTTTTTAAAAATTTATTATAGAAATGAGGTCTCACCAAGTTGCCCAGGTTGGTCTCGAACCCCTGGACTCAAGCAATCCTCTTGTCTCCATCTCCCTAAGTGCTGGGATTACAGGCATGAGCCACTGTGCCCGACTGAAAGTCCTATTTTTACCTTTTTAAAAACTGTATTTTGACAGCCACATTTTAAGTATTCTTCAAATTGAGGAAATATACTGGCCTTCTGGGAAGACAAATACATTTTTCAAGGCACAGTAGTGTAAGACTATAATGCATGTTCAAGAGGTTCTAGATGCTTCCCTCAGGAACAAAGGAACATATATATAGAAAGCGGAGCGGCAGGGACATTTTGGGACATATTTTATATGCCTTGGGAATGACCTAGGAAATGGCATCACATTAAAAAGCCATAGGCATATTTGGATGGGATATGCAAATGAGGGCATCCTATCATACAAGCAATACCGCTTTATTAGAATAGTAGGTTAAGATAAGTTAGATAGTTAGTAGACTTATTTTTAATTTCAAAGTCTTTTAGTAAAGGTAATAGAAAACTCTTTAGCAGAAGAGCTTCTGAAATAAAGGTTTTTAGTGTTTTCATGTAACAAAAACAAAGCTGGGTTTCATAGTTTTACACATCAGTCAGAGCAAACAAAACTGCTATGCAAGAAACAGCAAACAGATTTGAGGGACAGTACTTACTACAGCTGGCTACACTTAGCAAAAGAGAATTTAAAACTGATCTCATTTCTGGAGACACAACCATTCTTGGGGACAGAAGCCCTTGGTTTTGCCTAATAATAGAGTTAGATAGGAAAGAGGAAAGGAAATAGAAAACAGGAAGTGAAAGAAAAAAATTATTTGAAAATAGTTTGTAGCAGTAGAGCCAAGAATTTGACTATATTATAATATACTAGGTAGCTTTAACGTTTTTACTTCGGAAAGCTTATGTTAATGGCAATTATACCAAATTGTACTGGAAAAAAATTTTGTTGGTCAAAATTTGTATCTTTCTATAATTTTAAGGCCTCAATACTCCAGGGGAAAGGATCTTTAAGTAATATATTACATTTATTTTTTTAAACAATTAATACATTGCTAAGTATTTAAAATATTTAGCTTAAAAGAAAATCCAACCATATAAAGCTTTTCTTTTTTCTTTTTTTCTTGAGTTGGGGTCTCACTCTGTTGCTCAGGCTGGAGTGCAATGGCACGATCATGGCTCACTACAACCTCAACCTCCTAGGCTCAGGTGATCCTCCTATCTCAGTCTCCTGAGCAGCTAGGACTATAGGAGCATGCCACCATGCCTGGTTACCTTTTTTTTTTTTGAGTTGGAGTCTCACTCTGTCGCCAGGTTGGAGTGCAGTGGCACACTCATAGCCACCCCAGCATTGACCTGTTGGGTTCTAGTGAAACTTCCGCCTCAGCCTTCCAAGTAGCCAGAACTACAGGCGCACACTACCATGCCCAGCTAAATTTTTTATTTATTGTAGAGATGAGGTCTTACCAAGTTGCCTGGGTTGGTCTCGAACCCACAGGCTCAGGCAATCCACTTGCCTCAGCCTCCCAAAGTGCTGGGATTACAGGCTGAGCTACCAAGCCTGGCTGCCTGATTACTTTTTCAAAAAATTTTTCATCGAGATAAAGTCTTGCTATGCTGCACAGGCTGGTCTCAAACTCCTGGACTCAATCAGTCCTCCTGCCTCGGACTTCCCAAGTGCTGGAATTACAGACATGAGCTACTGTGTCTGGCCCAAGTTTTCATTTTAATCTTAAAACCTAATTTGTCGTATTTTAAAAAATATGTTTTCATAAAAACAATTTATGAAATTTTAGAGCAGATTTCTAAATCTTTATGATTGTTACTATACTTGCCTTATTAATAGGTTACATTAAATTGATCAGAGTATATCGTAATTTTTAAAAGTCCTAAATAAACAAAATAAGCACTTCCACATCTCTGTGGCTGGGAAGATAAATTGGCAAATATTTCTGGAAAGCAAGAGCTTAAAAAAAAATACATTTTTCAATTTAATCCATTAACTCTACTTATTGGAATGTATCCTAAGGAAATAACCTGGAATTCACACAAATATTTTGCACAAAGATGTTAATAGCAGCATTACTTATAATAAAAAAGAAACAAAACCTAAAACCCATTCAACTGTTCATAAAACAGGGAGTTGTTAAATAAAGTATAGTATATTTGAGTGGAATATCATATCAGTTATATAAAATAAGGTTTTAAAAGTTTAAGAACATGGGAACATGGTTGTAAGTTTCAAGAAAGGTGATGCAAAATTTCATATATCACACAAGATGTAAAATTGTATATACATACCTAACCCTGAATTGTACCGCACGTCTTAAAATAAAAAAATTACAATCTGTTGCCAAAATTCCCAGTGAGTATTAATTTCCAGTTAAAAAAATAATAATAATTAAAAGTAAAAAAAATTGTATATACAATATCGTTATGACCCTGTTAAAAACAAATGCAGAAAAAATGGGGGAAATATGACAAAATATTAATAGCTGCTATCTAGAGATAGTGGAATTATGGCTAAATTATTTCCTACTTATTTATCCCTTTACTAGTTTCCAAATTTTCCACCACGAATTCATATATGCGCACACATACACAAACACACAATAGGGACCTTTAAGTAACTTCTAATTTCCTGTACATTATGCCCCTCTGACATCAGACTGCCCTATCAGGTCATCTTGGGCTGCTTGAAATATATGGGCAGACTTGGTAAACACTGATTTTTCTCTAAAAATATTTAACACTTCCTGAGTCCAGTGAAAGTAGTGTTCAGGATATTAGAACTGTCTTATGCGGCAAATGTTTCATATCATTTCTGAGTCAACAAATAGCAAAGTAAAATGATACAAACATGAAAACTATCTGCAAATGTATTATTAACAAATAATTAGAATTGAATTGAAAGGAGTCAGCTCAAATTTGGGGTCAGTCATTTTGGTTCTTGCTCCTAACTTATTTTCAAACATTATTTACAAAAGTCCAAGCTATTTGACGTCCTCTGAAGTATATTTTCATTAAAATTCTATTTTGAGCACAGTCTTTGTTGAGTTGAGACAATTGGATTAATATTTCAAGCCAAGAAAAATTTCCTCTGAGTATGAAGAAGAAAAATAAGGCTTTTGGGGTTGAGTATTTCCAATTTGCTCGTAACACGGAGTGTCTTAATAAGAACCTGCTAACCTCTCAAATTCACCGATATCATAATCTTTACAAATTATAGTATGTGCCTGAAGCAAATTGACTTAAAGAGATCATAACTAAATTTTCTTAATGCTCTACTTCTTGGTACCAGGGATGTGGATACTATCTTGTGAGAAAGCAAAAGGGAGAAATGACCTCTTCAAACTTAACTCGTCCTATGTATAAAAATAAGACAAAAAACTTGTAATTCAGAGCTTGCAACTTTAAAAAAATCTACTTTAACAAACTGCTCTTGTGTATTTCCTCTAAAGCTTGCAAAGAACTATTTTGACAAATAGGACAGCTGGCGGCATCTGTTGCTTCTTAATGAACACAGGGTTAGACACAAAAAGGCAGCAAATGTTTGAAATCAAGCCTACCAACTGTCTGTGAGGAACTTTGGTATGAACAGCCTTTCCTGGAGTAGCGATATTTTTCCTGCAAGGTTCCAGGAGGGACTTAAATGGACATATCAGTAATGCAGTTTCAAGTACTATAATTAAAAGCCTTCAGACTCAAAATTTAATGTACAGATGCTAAAGAATAGGGTTTTAATGAGTTAGATTAGGGTTTTAATGAGCTAGATTACGGGTTGGCAAACTTTTTCATAAATGCCAGATATTTTTGGCTTTTGTGGCCATAAAGTCTCTGTTGCAACTAAGCCTTGCCCTCATAGTGCAGAAAACAACCGTAGGTAACGTAAATGAATGATCATGGCTGTTTCCCAGTAAAACTTTACTTACCAAAACAGTGGGTTTGGCCTGGAGGCTATCCTTTGCCAACCCCTGAACTAGATTATTTAACATTCATAAAGTAGGTAGGATTCCTGCTTTTCTTTTTCTTTTTTGAGACAGGGTCTTGCTCAGTCACCCAGGCTGGAACATAGTGGCATATTCATAACTCACTGAAACCTCAACCTCCTGGGCTCAAGTGATCCTCCCGTCTTGGCCTCCCAAAGTGCTGGGATTGAAGGCATGAGCCACTGTGCCTAGCTCCTGAATTCTTTTGAGTAGGAACAGGCTTCTTGAATTTTCAAGCATTGCTTCCTCACCTGCTTGGAGAGGGCAAAGGATTATAGACATTGCTATAACAGCTGGTGTAAGAAGAATGTGCTGGAGTCTCGTAGTCTGATAGCCCTATGGTTAACTGGGTCTTCCAGTTTCCAGAAGCATTCGTAGAAGACACTAGAAATAAAAACAGAGAGATCAAGTTAGTGGAAACATTCAAAGTAGAAACTGTTTGGGTCATTTAGATGCATATTATAATCAGCTGTTGTGCAGAGTGGAGATGAAGAGACAGGGTTTGGTTGGATGTGGTGGCTCATGCCTGTAATCCCAGCAATTTGGGAGGGAGAGGCAAAAGAACCCAGGGTTCTGGAGCAGCCTGGGCAACTTGGTGAGACCTCATCTCTACAATAAATAAATAAATAAATCAGCTGGACTTGGTCGTGCATACTTGTAGTTACAGCTACTCTCGAAGGCTGAGTTGGAAGGATCGCTTAAGTCCAGTAAGTCAAGGCTGTGGTGGCAGTAAGCATGCCACTGTACCTCAGCCTAGGTGACAGAGTGAGTCCAAAAAGAAAAAAAAAGTAAAGAAAAGAAAGAGAGAGATGGAATTTGGAATCAATGGAGTTCCTATTCCAGTTTGATGACATACTGGCCATGTGGCCTTGGCAAATAGTTTATCCTCTTTAAGCCTCAGTGTCCTCATCTGTAGAATGGGGATAATAATATAATTATATTCTGTATAGGTATGCTACCAGAAGTAAATAAGGTAATTATGAAATTCTTTAGCACTGTGCTTGATACAGAGCAGGCACTCAATAAATAGCGATTAATATTATTAAGAATGGGAAACGGTTAACCAAAAGACAGATCTGTCAATTTAAAAATTTTTAAAAAATAAACTAAAAGACAAACAAAAAAAATTCTCCTGTATTGAGAGAATCTTCCCATTCAGGGTCTGAAGACTGAATACACAAGGCTTCAGTTGTAAAGGTAAGATGACTGGGTTTGTCAGAGGCTCTGGAGGAAAAGCATTCCATAAGTTGACTTGTGGAGACTTGACCATTCCTCAGTCAAAGGCAACAGTGTCCTCTAGAAGATCAAGATTATTTTTTGCCTTAAAAAAAGGTATGTGCAGTGGCTCATGCCTGTAATCCTAACAATTAGGAAGGCAGAGGCGAAAGGATTGCCTGAGCCCACAGGTTCGAGACCAGCCTGGGCAACATGGCGAGACCTCATCTCTACAATAAATCAAAAAATAGGCTGGGTGTGGTGACGCATGCTTGTGGTTCCAGCTACTTGTGAGGCTGAGGCAGAAGGATCACCTGAGCCCAGCAGGTCATGGCTACAGTGTCCATGAGTGTGCCACCGCACTTCAACCTGGGCAACAGAGTGAGACTCCGTCTCAAAAAAAAGAAAAAAAGGTATGTGAGAGATAGTAATAAGTACAGGAAGGAATTCAGGAAGAAGAGATTTGGTTCTACAGAGGAACTGAAATGGAACAAGACAAGAGCATGCACTACTCTGAGAACAAAGCCTGATGAATGCCTCATCACTGGGTGTTTGTTGTTCTCTCTATAAAGCCAGTCCTGCTCCATGCCTAGGATGCACAATGCCATGCTGGTCATCCAAAACTCAAAAGCCCAGCCCTGCTCACAGATCCTTCCTGTTCTTCATTTCCTGTTCCTGGATCCGGACCTACGCCTCTCTCACACCCACAACATACCTGTGATCACTACAGGATAAACACATTTTCAAAACTCATCTGTGGCCCAGGAGGCCATGAGGTTTGGACTAACAGATCTAACACTCTCACTGTGAGCTTCCAATAATGTGACCAGGCTATAAATCTGAGGCTCTGAGGCTTGGTGGTTAAGATGTCAGAGTTTGGGCCTGTAATACCAGCACTTTGGGAGGCAAAGTGGGAGGACTGCTTGAGGCCAGGAGTTCAAGACTAGCCTAGGCAATAAAGTGAGTCGCCGTGTTTAGAAAAATAAAAATATTAGATACATTTGGTGGTGTGCACCTGTAGTTCTAGCTCCTTAGGAGGCTGAGGAGAAAGGATTGCTTAAGCCCAAGAGTTTGAGGCTATAGTGAGCTATAATCACACCACTGCACTCCAGCCTGGGTAACAAAGTGACCCTGTCTCTAAAAAAAAAAAATCCAGGCGTGATGGCTCACACCTATAATCCCAGCATATTGGGAGGCCGAGGTGAGAGGATTGCCTGAGCCCATGGGTTCGAGACCAGCCCGGGCAACTTGGTGAGACCTCACCTCTACGATAAATCAAACAATTAGCCGGGTGTGGTGGCGCATGCCTGTAGTCCCAGCTACTTGGAAGGCTGAGGTGGAAGGATCACCTGAGCCCAGTAGGCCAAGGCTGCAATGGCCATGAGCGTGCCCATGCACTCCAGCCTGGGTGACAGAGTGAGACTCCTATGCAAAATAAATAAATACAGTAAGTCCCCTACATATGTTTGCATGTCCAATCACACAAGTTAGTTCATGTGTCTGGCATACTTTTCAAGGTATTATGCTGTAAGATTAAAAACGTTTTGTTTTTTGTGTTTATGTATTTATGTGAAAAGTATTATAAACCTATTACAGTACAGTTCTATATAGCTGATTGTGCTCGTTGGGTACCTAGGCTAACTTTGTTGGACTTACAAACAAATTCAACTTAGAACCCACTCTTGGAAAAGAACTCATTTGTACATTGGAGACTGTATATCAGGCTGGGCACTGTAGCTCAGGTCTGTAATCCTAGCACTCTAGGAGGATGAGGTGGCAGGATCACTTTGAGTCCAGGAATTTGGGACAAACTCAGAAAACATAGCAAGACCATGTCTCTACAAAAAAAAAAAAAAAAAAAAAAATTAGCCAGGCATGGTGGCATGCACCTATAATCCCAGCTACTTGGAAGGTTGAGGTGGAAGGATTGCCTGAACCCAGAAGGTAGAGTCCATGATGAGCTGTGATCGTGTCACTGTACTCCAGCCTAGGTAACAGAGCAAGACTCTGACTCAAAAAAAAAAAAAAAAATCGATCTACCTATCTATCTATATGTCTCAGAGTCATATAGATAGATTCTCCACTCCACCACTTAGTAGTGTGGTAAGGGGGTTGGACAGGGTCTTTAAACTCTCTAAGCCGGAAGTGCCTTAGCTGTTAAATTAGGATAATAACAATAAACATAATGACAGCACTCACCTTATAAAACTGTTGCATATAAAGTACTGAACATGTGTGGCACACAGTAAACTGCTAGCAAATGGTAGTTGTCATTACCACTAAAACTAAGTCATCAAGACAGACCTCAGTTGGTTGGAAGGGACTACAAGAACCTTGATAATTTGCCACATAATTGGGAATTCATCTCTTCGTAAGAATGATGCATGCCTGTTGAAATACATTTCTGTAGCTACAAAATGAAGACAGGTATGAGGAAAATTCCAGAAGAGAATTCTGGGATTACTGATTTCATCCCTGTAATTCCTTAAAAAATGATCTCTCTTGGTTGATAGGACCAAATCCCTCTGGTGTCAGCAAGGCTAACACGGGGTCTGAACTGGAAGCTTTGACTCCATTCTGAGCTTTGCCCCCGACACTAAGCCAACAGCCAGGAATACTGAGGTTCCTGAATTACACCTGCTTCTGCCTGGGCACTACTCCAGCCCTGTGTCCTGACAAACACTTTCATGTGTCTCCACCCTCCTTGTTTGACTTTATCCTTGTGGTATACTCTGCCCAGGTTTGGCCTGTGAAAGTTTCTTCATGCACACCTTAATCTTTAAGGGGAAGAAAAACGTTCTCTAGGTCAGAGCCATAAATAACATGAAACAATCACAGAAGCCTTTTCATAAGTTCGATAAGGTAATAGATGGAACAGCCCTAGCGGAAGTCCAAAGTCCTGCACAAACAGAACTTGAACCCAAATAGAAATCTCCATGGAAATGCCTCTGATCAACAAGCACATGAAACTTTTAAAGGTATAGTTTTCAGCCGGGCTCAGTGGCTCAGGCTGTAATCCCACACGTTGGGAGGCTAGGTAAGTGGATTGCCTGAGCCCGCGGGTTCGAGACCCGCCCGGGCAACTTGGCAAGACCTCATCTCTATAATAAATCAAAAATTAGCTGGGCGTGGTAGCGCGTGCCTGTAGTTCCAGCTACTTGGAAGGTTGAGGTGGAAGGATCGCCGGCGACCAGCAGCTGGAGGCTGCGGTGGCCGGGAGCGGCCATTGCACTCCAGTCTGGGCGACAGAGTGAGACTCCAACTCAAAAAAAAATAAAACAAAATAAAGGTATAGTTTTCACTGACTCTTAGACAATGATTCAGAAATCCCTATAACATGTCTCATGAAGATGTCATGCTTATGAGGGAAAAAGCAAGACTCATGACCTCAGGTTTTTGACAGTTTAAGAATTCATTTATTTTTAGAGTTTTCTTTTCTTTTTGAGTTGGAGTCTCACTCTGTCACCCAGGCTGGAGTGCAGTGGCACACTCACGTGCCTGGATCCAGGCAATCCTTCTGCCTCAGACTTCCATTTGGTTGGAGCCACAGGTGTGTACCACCATGCCCGGTTAATTTTTTTTTTTTTTTTTTTATTGTAGAGGTGAGGTCTCGCCATGTTGCCCAGGCTGGTCTCAAACCTCTGGGTTCAGGCAATCCTCTCATCTCTGCCTTCTTAAGTGCTGGAATTACAGGTGTGAGCCACTGTGCCCTGCCATTTTTAGAGTTTTAAAATTGCTTAATTTTCATACATTCCTCTAGCTGCTGACTGGACTCTAAGCTCATTGTAGCCAGGAACTAGTTCAACACTGGGTCCTCAGCTTCTTGATATGTCTGCTCATTTGCTGTATAAATAAAACCATAAGCAGCCCTCCCCTAATCTCTCCCCATTTCTCTACTTAAAGGACTCAGCACAGCTGGGGGTATACAGGAAGTCCTTCACAAATGTTAGCGAAGTTAGGAGCCAAAGTCAACATGAAGGTATAAAGGAAATATCTCCTCTAATCAAAATTAGCTTTGAAAATTATGTAAGTCAATCATAAAGTGGAGTATATATAAATACCAAATTTAGAGATATAAAGTACTTAGAACAGTGCTTAATAAATGCCAGCTCCTATCAGAACTATTTTGAGCCTTATGCAGCTACTCGAGTACTCCAAACAGTCTTTATTTTAATTTTTTGAGTTGGAGTCTCACTCTATTGCCTAGGCTGGAGAGCAGTGGCACACTCACAGCTACCACAGTCTCGACCTGCTGGACTCTGGTGATCCTTCTGCCTCAGCCTTCCAAGTAGCTGGAACTACAGGAATAAGCCACCACGCCTGGCTAATTTTTTGATTTATTGTAGAGGTGAGGGCTCATCAAGTTGCCGAGGCTAGTCTCGGACTGTGAGCTCAGGCAATCTACTCACCTCAGCCTCCCAAAGTGCTGGGATTATAGGCGTGAGCCACCGTGCCCAGGTCCAAACAATCTTTAGATGATCAAATCTTGGTGGTGAACAGACGGATGTAGACTTTTTCTTTTTGAGTTGGGGTCTTCCTCTGTTTCCCAAGTTGGAGTGCAATGGCATGATTATAACTCACCACAGGCTTGACCTCCTGGGCTCAGGTGATCCTTTTACCTCAGCCTCCCAAGTAGCTGGGATTACAGGCATGTGCTATCATGCCTGGCTAATTTTTTTGATTTTTTTTTTTTTTGTAGAGCTGAGGTCTCGCTATGTTGCCTAGGTTGCTCTTGAACTCCTAGGCTCAAGCAATCCTCCCACCTCAGTCTCCCAAAGGGCTAGGGTTATAGGTGAGACCCACTGCACACGGTGGCCAACAATGTACACTTTTAATGATTTCTGCTTATCGAAAAGGTTTACGCTATTCTTTTAAAATATCAAACCTCAATGACCTGAACACATCTAAGAGATGAGACTGTCAACATAAATATGTAGAATGGGTGCTCAATAAATGCTTGCTAGATTTGACTCTGCAGTTTGTTTTAGAAGACTCAGGTATACTGTGTTCTTGGGAGAGCTAGACAGAACTGTTTTTAAGTTGGCAACTCTTTTTTTTTTTAGAGACAAGGTCTTGTTATGCTGCCTAGACTGGTCTTGAACTCTTGGGCACTCAAGCAATCCTCCCACCTCAGCTTCCCAAAGTGTTGGGATTACAGGTATGAACTACTAAACCCAACCTAAGTAGGCAATTCTTATTGTGGGTTCCACTGAATGGCCTTGGGTACCGGTCTCATGATCCTTGAGAATAAGTTTGTGTGAGCGAGGAACGGGATATATATGAAATCCAGGTGTCATGCATTTCCACAGCATTCTTACCTGAAGAGTAGGAGGATGCATGACTGCTTGGGGAACAGGGTGCTTGCAGCCCGGCAAACCCCAGGCACCTCTGTGATCCCCTGTCCGAGTCAAAGCTCGTCTGTGGGCTGTGCCCCTGATCCTTTTGCCCAGAGGCGCGCTGGTACCACCCACGCAAGTGCTCAGCCACCAAGGCCTTGTGGATGTTTTTGGTGATGTGCTCAGATTTCGCAGCAGCCTTTCTTGGCAGCCGGAGAGTTGCATATGGATTGTGGGGCACCCGGTTGACCTCATCTTCATGAAAGGATCTGCTGTAGTCCCTTTGGCGGTCATATCCATAGTGGGCTGAGGATCGGTAGGAAGGATTGACACTGTACTGTCCCTCAGTGTCGTTCTCATAGACATAGCCACCACTGTAATAGAAGTCACACTCCGCATATGGTGTGTACCCGGCAATATAGTAGCTGGAAGATGGTGGCTCCTGATTCTTTGAGTAGACACCATTCCTCAGACTATCCTTTTGTGCGAGGTTGGGCATGCTTCCTGAATTTGAAGTAGAAACATTCTGTTTCTTTGACCTCCTCCGACCCCTGGCGCGAGTATCCAGAGTCTGGGTGGTATAATAAGGGCCAGACACTGGTGTCACACAGTAATATTCTGTGCTTGATTGGCTGGTGTAAGAAGACCCATCGTCGAGGATTTCGGTGCTGCTGCTTCTTTGGGATTTGGAAAGGGAGAAAAATGGCTTGTCGTTGTCCATCTCAGACAGCAGGTGGGACTGGGACTCGAGGCTTCCGCTACGCTGGCGGCAGTGCTGAGAGGAAGATTCGGGTCTGAAAGAGAAGAAAGGCAAATTTGTAAAAAAAAAAAGCAACGAGGGAGGACCCAAATAAGAAAAAAGCACCCCATGCTGAATGATTTCAGAGCTCTTGAATTGCGATAGAATTTGTAAGGGTTCCAAAGCTGGCCATGCAACAGTATCCATGGGTTCACACTTAAGTTCATGACCATGGGAAGAAAAAAAGAACTAGGTTCTGTCAGTTGTGCAAACCAAATCCCACGAGGGTAGAGAAGACATAAGCCGATATAATGCACAACCTGCACCAGAAGATATAAGCCGATACAATGCACAACCTGCAACAGAGCCTGGAAAAAAATAAAACCCAGAAAACCTCAACATGTCTTTGGAGGGCCCTCCCTTCCCACAGGATATTAGGATGTGTTAGACTAGAGTGGAGGTCAGAGATAACTGGACTGAGTCATGGCATTGCCATTTCCCAGCAAGATGAGCTCGGGTAAGATACTTAATTAACCTCTCTGAATCTCACTTCCTCCTTTGTAAAATGAATGTGAAAACAATATCCAATATCACCTCACAATAGGGGACTAAATAATATAGTGCACATAAAACATTTAGCATGACACTCAGTAGCCACTTCAAAACGTTGCTACTGTTACTATCGCCATTCTCATCATTGAATAATGAATAGTAATACATGGTTGGAGAAATTAAGACACTAAAAAAAAAAAAAATCTCATATATATACCCAAACAAATCAAATATATTTTCTTTGCCAACATATTTGAAACTGTAAATTAGCAAAAAATGTAGAACCATAAAACAAGATCCTGCAGCAGGAAGTCATTTGACATGAACAAAAAATACAACAAAGCAAGATGAAACCTCAAAGCAAAAATCAACAGAGTCAAAGCAATGGGAATGAAGCTCTCTTACTCCAAGTGACTGCTGCTGTAGGCATTTCGGGTAAGAACCGGCGTGGTGGGCATGCTTCGTCCTCCCTGGGGCCTCCTCTCCAGAGTTTTGTAAGGGCTGCTGTGTGTCGACAGCATTTCTCTGTGATGACAAGAAGAAGAATTCAGGAAATGATGAATCTCCCAATATCTCTGGTAAACTTATCATAAGCGGATATGAAACTTACTGGAAACTGAAGGAAAGAGAGCATTGGGAGAAAGATGGGAAGGGTGTCGTCGTGGTTTAGTATCCTGGCATATCCTACACGAGTTTTAGGGGAAGCACATAGGGTTTGACTTTCTGAGTCAAATATGAAGGAAAAAAAAGTTTTATAAATGAGTGCACCGAATAAAACAGACTGAAGGCAACTACAGCTGGGGTCAGCAACCCCTTTTTTGAAAATGTTCTAATAGTAAATATTTTTTGACTTTATGGGCCAGTTGGTCTCTGTACTGACTACTCAACTCTTCCCTTGTAAGGCAAAAGCAACCATAGTTAATATGTAAGGGGCTGCGTGTGATGACTCACACCCAGCACTTTGGAAGGCTGAAGCAGGAGGATTACTTAAACTCAGGAGTTAAAGACAAAAAAAGAAAAAAAATTAGCCAGCTGTAGTGGCACACATCTGTAATCCCAGCTACTCGGGAGGCTGAGGAGGAAGAATCACCTGAGCCCAGGAGGTCGAGGCTATGGTGAGCTGAGGGTATGACATTGTACTCCAGGCTGGATGACAGAGTGAGTTCTCAACTCAAAAGAATAATAATAATAATAATGATAATAATCATAATAACATGTAAGAGAATGACCATGGCTGTTTCCAATAAAACTTGACTTAGGGCGGCTGAAATTCAAATTATATAATTTTCTCATCATGAAATAAAATTATTGCTTTTGTTTCTCCCCACTATCAACTATCTAAAAATATGAAAACCACTCTTAGATCATGGGCTACACAAAAACTGGCAGTGGGGTGGATCTGGTTCATGGGCATTGTTTGCCAGCCCTGGACTAGAGTGCAACGACCTTAAATCACTTTGTCTACTTCCCAGTGCAGGAAAAATAGAATTTGAGGTTTTAAATGTCCAGAATCCGATACCTCACCTATAGCTAATCAACACTAAACGTTTTAACCTGTAGCCCCAGCACTTGGGAGGCCAAGGTAAGAGGATTACTTGAGCCAGGAGTTTTGAGCCAGCAACATAGCAACATAGCAAGACCTCATATCTACAATAAATCAGAAAAATTAGCCAGGCATGGTGGTGTGCATCTGTAGCCCCAGCTACTTGGAAGACTGAGGAGGGAGGATTGCTTAAGACCATGATGAGCTGTGACTGCCACTGAACTCCAGTATGGGTGACAGAGGGAGATCTTTACTTGAAAGAAAAAAAAAAAAGTTCTTAGATACCTTTTCTAAGCATGTATATTTATAAGCATATATATTTTTTAACAAAAAATGAGATCTTGTGTATATTCATTTCAAAATTCACTAACATTTCATGTTGCTTAATATTTGTCAACATTGTTATTTTAATGACTGCATAGCATTCCACTATATAGATTTACCATCATTTATTTAAATAATCTACTAGTTAAGCATTTAGGTTGTTTTCAATTTGTCATGAGTATAAACAATGCTGTGATAAGCATCCTGTAGTTTTATTTATTTATTTTTTCTATTTTATTTTATTTTGATTTGAGGGTTTCACTCTGTTGCTCAGGCTGGAGTGCAGTGGCATGATCACAGCTTATAATCACAACTCACCACAGTCTTGACCTCCTGGGCTCAGGTGATCCTCCCACCTCAGCCTCCTGAGTAGCTGGGACTGCAGGAACATGCCATCACACCTGACTAATTTTTTGATTTTTTGTAAAGATGGGGTCTTTACAAAAAAAAGACCTATGTTGCCTAGGCTTGTCTTGAACTCCTGGACTCAAGCAATCCTCCTGTCTTGGCCTCCCAAAGTGCTGGGATTACAGATGTGAGCTACTTTGCCCAGCCACCACACCCAGCTAATTTTTTTGATTTATAGAGATGAGGTCTTGCCAAGTTGCCCGGACTGGTCTCGAACCCATGGGCTCAGGCAATCATCTTGCCTAAGCCTCCCAAAGTGCTGGGATTATAGGCGTAAGCCATTGCGCCTGGCTAGGTTTTCACTGGTCTTTAACAAATTAGAAATATAGCAAAGTATAGGTAATATTTTCACAAATCAAAATGCATAATCTACCTTTATTTTGAGATTAATTTCCATCTTTGCTGAGATATGGTATATCATGTTGACTAAAGTCAAATCACAGGCTTTGGAGCCTATCATGTTCTTTCTAGTCTACCTAGGTTCAACTCCTGATTCCCAAATTTACTAGTTGATGAACCCAAATGAGTTATTCATGGTCTCTGGTCCTCAGTGTATTTAGTAGTAACACTATCAGGGTTGTCATGAGGATTTCTGTATGTTAATATAACAAATTATGTAAGAAACACATAAACAAAATCTGGCACAAAGTAAGTACTCAATTGATGTTAACTTCATTTCATCATCATTATTATTATGACAATAATGGCAGATGTGTTTTTGATATTTAAATATCATTTCTTTCATGGATTCACAGTGCTGTTTGTTTGAACATTCTTATTAGGAAAAGTACACAATCCCATCTTGGATTCTAACTTAAAAAAACAAATACTATTGCATGGGCAGCCAAATTCTGGGACCCAGTGGTTTGTCATCTTTCTAAAACCTGGTCTCACTGCTCTGATATTTACCGGAGACATTTAAGAGAAAAAAAATTGTATTATCCACTTTACACATCACAAAATGAGTTTAAGTCCCATGTTTATTTGTAGGGACAGAAGTTACTCTTGCCACTTGGTTTGGCAAAGTGGATTTAATGACAATTTCCTTAGACTAAAGACAATGAAACTGAACTCTGGACACTATACCCAAATCTGGATGCTAATTAATGCCCTTATAACTTAATAAAAATCAAACAGACTTAAAAAAACAGCCAAATGCATTTTAAAAGACCTCAACACTTCCACTTGCTGTCAACAACAAATAACTGGGTTGGTTTCTATGCCTTAGTTTTATAAAATAAAGTTTTCTGAAAGGATAAATAAGAACAAGCAAAAATGTATCGGCTAGGCACGGTGGCTCACGCCTGCAATCCTAGCACTTTGAGAGGTAGAGGAAAGAGGATTACCTGAGCTCAGGGATTCTAGACCAGCCTGAGCAACATGGCAAGACTTTGTCTCCATAGCAAATCAAAAAATCAGCTGGGTATGGTGGCACATGCCTGTGGTTCCAGCTACTTGGAAGGCTGAGGCAGAGGGATTGCCTGAGCCCAGCGGCTTGAGGCTGCCGCGGTAGCCATGATGAGCATGCCACTGCAGCCTGGGAGACAGAATGAGACTCCAACTCAAAAAAAAAAAAAAAAAAAAAAGGTATCAACACTTTTGGAGGGAAGAATTCCCAGTTGCAAAGCACTACCTTTATTGATGATACAATCTCTCACCTGGACTGCCTGGTATCCACAAACTGCTCATTGATGGACGACTTTCTGAAATGGATTCGTTCAATACCAAGAGACTTGGGGGGAAGAATTCTTGGAGAATGAGGCACTGAACTTGATCGTTGACCAGCAAGAGTGAAGGTGTCATTGGCTATAATAAGTAAATAAATGAATTTAAAACGTAAGCAGGTAAATAAATACCTTGCCAACCCCTCAAAAAAATCAGAAGATCTTGTGAACAAAGGGTTTTTCCAAAGATGATGTTTGTAGAAGTATGTAACTTTCAAGGAGTTAATTTTTATATTTTAGATACTAGGAAAAAGAATTTACTGAATTCTCTTCTGGAGCCTGAACCAACTTTTGACAATTCAATATGTGCCACTTTGCACAAGCAAATCAGGTGAAATGATGATACAACAGCTTTTAAAAGTTCTATTAGTTTGGAATGGTGGCTCATGCCTGTAATCACAGCACTTTGGGAGGCCGAGGCAGAAGGACTGCCTGAGCCCAGAAAAGTGAGCTGTGGTGAGCTATGATCATGCCACTGTACTCCAGCCTGAACGGCAAAATGAGGCCCCAGCTGAAAAAAAAAAATCAGCTGGGCTCGGTGGCTCAGCCTGTAATCCTGCGCCTTTGGGAGGCTGAGGTGAGTAGATTGCCTGAGCCCCCAGGTTCGAGACCCGCCTGGGCAGCGAGACCTCATCTCTACAATAAATCAAAAAATCAGCCGGGCGTAGTAGCGCATGCCTGTAATTTGTCTACTTGGAAGGCTGAGTGGAAGGCTCGCCGGAGCTCAGCAGGTTGAGGCTGCGATGGCCGGGAGCAACCACTGCACTCCAGTCTGGGTGACAGAGTGAGACTCCAACTCAAAAAAAAAAAAAAAAAAAAAAAAAAAATCACCATTGGGAAAAGCTGGGTGAAGGACTATAGTATTTATATTTATATTATTTATATTTATACAACTCTTCATGAATTTATAATTTAAAATAAAAAGTTAAAAAAAATTAGAGAGGCTTAAAAAGAAAATCCTTATAGAGAGACTGACTCCTGCAAGGGTATTCTGATTCCCTGAAGTCATGTGATTTGCATGGTCCTGTTTTTAATGCTTAGTTAACCTAAATAGATGTTAATCATATACTTCCTTTCTCAACCATTTTGCATAAATGTAAGTTACTTTAGTCTATCTTTCCCAAACGAAAACCAAGCTATCTTTACTTAACCAAGAAAATTATCTTAATATTTCAGAATATACAATATTTTTAAACTGAAAGAGGAAAAGCCACTTACAATCATCATAGGTGGTGTCAGACAAAGAGCTGCTCTCTGATGGAATTATGTCTTCTGCAAATAAAAATAACTGCCTTTAGTATAATTGTATGTTTATACAATCAGATTGAGTTTAAAGAAGGAATTTTCATTGGAGTGCATTTTATTTTCATTTAGAAAAATGTATCTAATTATAGTACATTAAGAATAACTATTGTAAGAATGAACTCATACACTATTGGAGATCAAAACATCTTGTATGAATATTACATTGAATTATTTCTTACAGCGGAACAGACTTCAAGGGAGTTCTAGTTTCAAACTAGTTTTCCATGTTTCCTCTACACTGGAAGAAACCTTACCCTGTACATTTAGTGCTTGCAATCAACAAATTGGAAAGAAAAACCATGCCATTCTTACCATACATGCTAAATGTTATGTAAAATACATTTGAACTCTAATTTGAGCATCTACTGTTAGTACTTCTTTTTTGATCCCTCTCTGAAGAAAAGGGGCTTTTGTTAATAGGTGTATGGACACATTTTGATACATGAGCTTTTGGATTACACCAGGGTTTCTCAACAGGGGCAGTAGTTTTGGACTGGATAATCTTTCTTCTGGAGAGCTGTCCGTGCATTATAGGATTCACAGCCTCCACCAACTGGACAGCAGCAATACCCCACCTTCAGTTTTGACAACTAAAAGTATCTTCAGACAGTGCCAAATGTTCTCTGAGGGACAAATTGCCCCTGGTTGAGAACCAGTGAATTAGACAGACCTGGATTTGATCTTTGTTTTGCCATATATTGGCTGAGATTTTGGGCAAATTACTTAATCTTGGTCGTGCATGGTGACTCATGCTTGATAATTCCAGCACTTCAAGAGACTGAGGGTGGAGATCACTTGAGCTGAGGAGTATGAGGACACAGAGGTCTATGATCACACCACTGCACTCCAGCTTGGGCAACAGAGCAAGGCCTATCTAAATATATATATATATATATATACATATATAAATTATAAATATATATAATTACTTTATATAATTATAATCCATGTAGAAAAAAATATATGTATATATATGGGATGACAATAGCACCTATCACCACTTAGTGCTTCAGTGAGGTATTAGAATAATGAATGTAAAGCCCTTAGCCCAATTCCTGGCCACGTGACAGTGCTTTGTAAATGTTAACTACGCTTATTACTTTTGTTACCTATATGCAACATTCTGGTTGAAAATGACTATAATTGCTCTGAGTATTGCTAGTGCCCATTGAATATCAAATAACATATTTAGTAAAGACAACTATCTCAAATATGTTGATCTGCTTTGGCAAATCATTCTATATTCAGTGTTGAGTGTTTTGAGACAAGGTTCTAGACTAACACCTAGAACACACCTAACACACCTCAAAGTAAGCGTCACAGTTATTATGAAGGAAATCTCTCCATCCAATCTCAAGGATTAATCTCTACCAGGGTCTAATGGCCTATCTCTTAATTAGACATACAGTAGAGCTGGAAGGCACAGTGCCGGTATAGTCAACTGTCAGGCAAACTTTAAAAAAATCTATCCAATATATGCTCAACCATTGGCACCATCTGCTGCCCAAATGTCAGTCACTATAAAGAACACTTGAATTTCGCACTGGTTAAGGATGAATGGGCCATAGCAAATGGACATGGAGTTAAGTGCAATGCTAATCGCCCATTTCTATAGGTCCAGAATGCCAAGGCCAGTTGAATTTTGCATTCAGAGTCAAAGCTACCCTACATTCTTCAGCTGTGGTAGACTAACACTTGTGTGTTGATATCTGTACATGCACTTTCCAAAAGTCATATCTCTGCTTTATAAATATGTTCTACACTCAAGTATATTCTAAACCCAGTTACCAAATTATTTTATGTACAAATTTTTTTTTAAAGTACTGCTAATTATGACTATAACACTTCTAGGATAAGCACCATCCCAATCTCACAGAAGTTAAAATGTGAAGAAGAAAAAAAGTTATGGAATCAAAGAAGTACAATCATATTTCAATCAATGATCAAGGGTGAAAACTGTGCTAATAAGAATTTTTAAGGCCGACTGGACTTCAAATCTACCTGTGATTTCTCAGTTTACTTTTTTCTGAATAAGAAAATCATAGAGGTGGGAGAACTGCTCGAGGTCAGGAGTTCGAGACCAGCCTTGGCAACGTAGCCAGTCCTTGTATCTATTTAAAAAAATAAGCTGGGTGTGGTGGCTCACCCCTATTGTCCCAGCACTTTGGGAGGCTGAAGTGAGGATTGCCTGAGCCCATGGGTTCGAGATCAGCCTGTGCAACTTGGCAAGACCTCATTTTTACAATTAAAAAAAAAATTAGCCAGGCATGGTGACTCATGGCTGTAGTTCCAGCTACTTGGAAGGCTGAGGCAGAAGGCTCGCCTGAGACCAGCAAGTTGAGGCTGCGGTGGCCGTGAGCGTGCCACCACACTCCAACCTGGGTGACACAGTGAGACTCTGACTCAAAAATAAATAAAAAAAAAAAGGTGACTCTATCTTATAATGAGCCAATATTGTTTAGAAGATCTTTCATTCTGAAAATGAAAGCAGCACAATAAGTATAATACTACAATGGTGAAAATATCACTGAAAATTAAGTCTACATACTTGTAAGACTAAAATTCCAAACAATTTTTATCCTAAGAAATGTACTTTTATCTTGTTCTTTCTTCTATCTCTTATCAAATTAACTAGTTTGGAGATGCTACCTACCATTAAATATTGATTAGGGGACTCAAAAAAAACCTTACTTCTTACTAACCTGGTAAAACTGTTGCTTTCTGGTTGGGTTTCTTCCCACATCTAATTCGGTATTCGTTTATTGAATTTTCAATCTCCTGAAGCTTTTTCACAGCATCTGTGTAATCTTGCTTTCGCTTTTTCCTCACGGTTTTACAAAGGTCTGGCTCATTGGCAAGTTTCTTTGCAGCTTCAACCAGCTTTTGCTGTATCAGAAAATTACTCTCCAGTTCTTGCAAAGCAGGATCCTGCATTGATACAATGAAACCATATTATCTTTATGGACACAAACAATCACTCTCATACGCATTGGATAATAAATAAAATTCCTTATATTTGCAAATCAGATGTTCTTTGAGAATAAAATCTCCCCGAGTTTTACTGTGTAGACATGCTCAAACACTTTCCCTCACCCATCTTACCTTGAACTTCTCATTAGTGCAAATCTCTTACTTTGTCAAGAAAGAAAATGCCCTTTTACTCATTCAGTTGGCTGAGTAAAAATCATAGCTTCCAAAAAGATATTCTTTTTTTTCCTTTTTTCTTTTTTGAGTCTGAGTCTCACTCTGTCACCCAGGCTGGAGTACAGTGGCACGCTCACGGCCACCACAGCCTCAACCTGCTAGGCTCAGGCGATCCTTTCGCCTCAGCCTTCCAAGTAGCTGGAAATACAGGCATGCGTCACCATGCCCAACTAACTTTTTTAATTTATTGTAGAGACAAGTCTCTTCATGTTGTTCAGGCTGGCCTTGAACTTCTGAGCTCAGGCAATCTCTCGCCTCCACCTCCCAAAGTACCGGGATTACAGGTGTGAGCCACTGTGCCTGGCTTTTTTTTTTCTTTTTTAATAATTTATTTATGATAGATTTGTGGGGTACAAGAGAGGATTTACTACATAAGTAGGCTGCATTCCAAGAAGATTCTTTTTTTTTTTTTTTTTTTGGAGTTGGAGTCTCACTCTTTCGCCCAGACTGGAGTGCAGTGGCCGCTCCCGGCCACCGCAGCCTCGACCTGCTGGGCTCCAGTGATCCTTCCGCCTCAGCCTCCCAAGTAGCTGGAACTACGGGCAGGCGCTACCACGCCCGGCTAGTTTTTTATTTGTTGTAGAGATGAGGTCTCACCAAGTTGCCCAGGCGGGTCTCAAACCCACGGGCTCAGGCAATTCACTCACCTCAGCCTCCCAAGGCGTGGGATTATGGGCTGAGCCACCGAGCCCGGCTCCAAGAAGATTCTTAACCCAGGACTCATAGATGCAGAATGATATTGTCATATGCATAGCTTTAGAGACAGATACAATAGGATTTGATCCTCTTGCTGGTGGTTTTTTGTTGAATGACCCTGGATACACATCTTAACCTTTTAGTGCTTCAGTTTTTTGTTTGTTTTTCTTTCTTTTTTTTTTTTTTGAGTTGGAGTCTCACTCTGTCGCCCAGACTGGAGTGCAGTGGCCGCTCCCGGCCACCGCAGCCTCGACCTGCTGGCTCCGGCGATCCTTCTGCCTCAGCCTTCCAAGTAGTCGGAATTACAGGCATGCGCTACCACGCCTGGCTGATTTTTGGATTTATTGTAGAGATGAGGTCTCACTGCCCAGGTGGGTCTCGAACCCACGGGCTCAGGCAATCCACTCACCTCAGCCTCCCAAAGGCACGGGATTACAGGCTGAGCCACTGAGCCCGGCTTGTTTGTTTTTCATTTGTAAAGTAAAGATAGCACCTGCCTTATAACTGTACGCTGAAGAGTCAATGAAATAATATATGTGCATTACCTAGCTCAGAGCTGGGTATACAATGAGCACTCAATAAATAGCGAAGCTTTCAAAGACGGAAGCTGCTATTGTTCTAAAGCTAAGATGGTTAAATTTCTACAGGGTTATAGTCATTTTGGCTGATGACATGCAAATGAGAAAGTACACTCTATATGGGTTAACAAATCTTTTAATTTGATGATAGCTGTGTGCAATACATGTATTATCTCATTTAATACTCATTGCATCCCTCAAAGGGAAGTCCAATCATTACCCCATTTTACAGATGCAGAAAACTGAGACAGGAGAAATGAGACCTTTGGGGGGTTAAACGATTTGCCAAAGGCTAGTTTTAAACAAAAGAATCTAATGCTAGAGTTCTTAATTCTTATAATACTGTTTTCTCAATTTAGAAATGTTGGGGTTCATTTAATGCTCTCTCTGATTTGGGTAGTAAAGTTGTGAGAAATAACTCAATTTTTGATTGACGTGTGTATGGAGAATAGAGTTCCATTTGGTCTACACTATCCATTTTAACAGTTACAAATGCATAGCAGCGATTCAAAAACCAAAGTAACAAGCCTACTACACTGAACAGATAGCTTTTCAGTTTCACTGTTAATAGAAAGGCTCAGAGCTGGTGTCCATACCTCTTCACTCGGCAGCAAGTTGTCATCTAATTTGAACGTAGTGCCTACCCGTCTTCTGACCTGAGGAGGCTTCTCACCTATGTTCAGGGGATACTCCTTCGGCATTTTGCCTGTGAGTTCCTGTAAAAGAGAATACAAGAGTAGCAGATCACTGACACTGGCTGGAGTTGTCAAACACGGTCTGATGAGCCACAAGAAGCAGAACTCACAGCCTCCCGCAAACAGATCTTCTTAAGCTCCTCAACTTTCTGCAGGAGTTTTTCTTGCAACAGTTTTTCCTTCTTCTTCAGTTCAAGAATTTTCTCTCTTTTTTGCTCCTCACTAACTTCTGAGTCTTGAGAACCTGGAGGGGTGGGGGAAGTGCAGGGAAGGTTTATACAAGGCAGTTTCCTTCCTTCCTAAAGGACAAAGGATTTTTAAGCCAAACCTATTATTAAATGGTAGTTTATTTCTTTTCTCCTTGTTTCTGAATATAATAAAAGGAAACTGGGGAACATTTTCTCATGCTTCTGGGCATCAGACAGTGGGCCTGTAACAAAATGTGCCTTTTGCATTTTGGCTCAGTCTTTTGGGGGGTAATGATAAAATGCTTAAGGTTCCAGGCACACCCCAGGATAAATTTCATTTTTCTGTGCAGGAGAGAAGGTAAGATGTTTCTTGAGATGGTCATTTCAAGTGCTTCTTTAGCAAGCAAGGCAAGGGAATGTCCTGGGCAAAAGAAGAGTTTGCTTCAGATTTACAAGTTGACAGTGGGATTTCAATGGGACAAATCATTTCAGGGAAGTTACACATACGTAGTGATAAAAGACTCGATTTCTACAGCGAAGGGTTTAGAGGAAGCTATCACATGGGGGGGGTATGTGCCTGTAATCATGTTTGTAAAGCACTTTATATTACATGGAGAATTAGACAATCATCTGTAACAAAACTTAATATTAGGAGAAAAAGCTAATGGAATTTATGGGGGGAAAATGTCCTTTCAAGCCACCCCTGGGTACTCACTATCCTTGCATTCAGCATTACTTTCACAAACTATCTTCAATTAATTTTCTTTATACTCTTAAAAATTAGTTTTAGATGGGTGTGGTGGCTCACACCTGTAACCCCAGCACTTTGGCAGGGAAAGGCAAGAGGATTGCCTGAGCCCAGGGGTTTGAGACCAACCTGGGCAACTTAGCAAGACGTCATCTTTACAGTAAATAAAAAAATTAGCCAGGGGTAGTGGCACATGCCTGTGGTTCCAGCTACTTGGAAGGCTACAGTAGCCTGAGCCCAGCAGGTTGAGGCTGTGGTGGCCATGAGTGTGCCACTGCTCTCCAGCCTGGGTGACAGTGAGACTCCGACTCAAAAAACAAAAAATAAATTAGTTTAAAAATGTTATTCAAAACTGTTGAATACACAGAGTTTGATACTTATTTATTCCCTCCCAAGAATGAGTTAAAATATGAATTTAAAATATGAATTTAAAAGTGGCATATGATGAAAAAAATGTTAAAATAAAGATAGCCTGTACTTTCTCTAATCCCAAGATGTTACCTGAGGAGATTAAACTGCCATTGCTTGCCATGATAAACTGACTTTTTGCTTCCAGTGTCACCAGTTTGGAGATCCTTTGTGTTCCTGTCTCTGTCAAATCCATTGCAATATCGTCTAAACTTCTGGCTGAAGGAATTTTTGCCTAAGAGGTATACAACATTGAAACAGAATTAACTCAAACATATTTCAAATCAGTAAATAATTAAGTTACCATACAATAAACATGTCAACACACTGCCAGGTGCGGTGGCTCACGCCTATAATCCCAGCACTTTGGGAGGCCGAGGTGAGAGGATTGCCTGAGCTCATGGGTTTGAGACCAGCCTCATCTCCACAATAAATCAAGAAAAATTAGCCAGGCACGATGGTGCATGCCTGTAGTTCCAGTTACTTGGAAGGCTGAGGCAGATGGATAACCTGAGCCTAGCCGGTGGAGGCTGCGGTGGCTGTGAGTGTGCCACTGCACTCCAATCTGGGTGAGAGTAAGACTCTGACTCAAAAAAAAAAGTCAACACAGAGTGTGACTTTTAAATATATATATATGTGTGTGTGTGCATATATATATTTATATGTAAATATATATATATATATATATATATATATATACTTTTTTTTTTTTTTGAGTCAGAGTCTCACTCTATCACCCAGACTGGAGTTCATTGGTGTGTTCACGGCCACCGCAATCTCGAGCTGCTGGCCTCAGGCAATCCTTCTGCCTCAACCTTCCAAGTAGCTGAAACTACAGGCACGCACCACCACACCCGGCTAATTTTTTGATTTATCGTAGAGATGAGGTCTCACCAAGTTGCCCAGGTTGGTCTTGAACTCCTCGACTCAGACAATCCTCTTATCTCTGCCTCCCAAAGTGCTGGGATTACAGGCATGTGTCACCATGCCCGGCCTAATTTATATATATCTTCAGAAAAAAAAATACAAGCCTGGCCAGGCTCGGCGGCTCAGTCTGTAATCCCGCACTTTGGGAGGCCGAGGTGAATGAATTGTCTGAGCCCGTGGGTTCGAGACCCACCTGGGCAACTTGGCAAGCCCTCATCTCTACAATAAATCAAAAAAATTAGCCGGGCATGGTAGTGCGTGCCTGTAGTTCCAGCTACTTGGAAGGCTGAGGTGGAAGGATCACCGGAGCCCAGCAGGTTGAGGCTGCAGTGGCTGGGAGCGTGCCACTGAACTCCAGTCTGGGTGACACAGTGAGACTCCAACTCAAAAAAAAAAAAAAGCTGGGCTCGGTGGCTCAGCCTGTAATCCCGCATCTTTGGGAGGCTGAGGTGAGTGGATTGCCTGAGCCCGCGGGTTCGAGACCCGCCTGGGCAGCGAGACCTCATCTCTACAATAAATCAAAAAATCAGCCAGGCGTGGTAGCGCATGCCTGTAGTTCCAGTTACTTGTAAGGCTGAGGCGGAAGGATCTCCAGAGCCCAGCAGGTCAAGGCTGCGGTGGCTGGAAGCGGCCACTGCACTCCAGTCTGGGCGACAGAGTGAGACTCTAACTCAAAAAAAAAAAAAAAAATGCAAGCATTAGGCTTTGCAGCTAAAATGTTTTAATAACTATATCATGATTATCTCTCTTAGCATGGTTTAGTCACTAACTTCAAACTGTCACCAGTAATATCACTGCCAGTAATGTCACCAATATACACACATATGCATGCCAAAAACTTGGCCAATCTTACAGCTTTTAAAATCAGCTTATATACTGCCAATCTTTTAAATATTTAAAAAATGGAAACGGTTGAAAGTTTAAAAAATAAATAAATAAATAAATAACTCAAATACGTGTGCTTGCATCTTTTTTGAGAAAGCTTATCTTCTGAGTATAAAGCAAAAGAAAGACTAGAGTCTGTCCATACAGAAATGCTGCTGGTAACTTACTTTGCTTTGCTTCCGGTCCAAGTAAAACTGATGCTGACTAATTGCCATTACCCAGATGGACTTGATGAGAGAAGAGTTAGCATACCATGTTTGCACATAGAGGCCACTTTGTCCAAAGGTTCTTCTTGACACTGAAATCCTGAAAGATTAAGGAAAGTACTCAAATCTTACCCCTCTGGTCCAGCAGGACACAAAATGTACCCTGTAGCAGTGTTATAATGAATCACCTTTCTCTTACAGTTTGCTGCATAAACTCTTATGTTAATCGGGGTCAAGTTTCTGATTTTCTCCGTTTACAATAAAACCAATTGAATCTAAGAAATCTCTTTCCATATAAACTAGGATATTCAAAAAGATATATGCACAAACTCAAAAGCTGATAAGGAATCAGTCACATCAGAGGCCATACAAAGATATTTAGTTAGAAACTATAAGAACTTGGGACCATCACAAGGGGTAAAGAATAAATGTGATAATATTTTAAAGATGCAGCAATCAAATATGGGATAAGAATCTGCTTCAAGGTCAAAGAGCATCTCAGATCTAGGTAGATTTGGCTGATTCTAACATTATCTGAGGAGACACATGACACTGGCTGAAAAGATACAAGTTCAAAACTGGTCCAGACTGGTCCAGAGTGCTGCTTGTCCATCAGATGAAAAGAGGGTAGGGGAGGGGACACAGAAAGAAGACAGACATGATGTGTAAGTGGTAGTGGGTGTACTGATGTTCTTTGTAGGAATCTGGCTTATCTCTTCGGGCCATCTTTTCCTCACAGCTGTTTCCTCCCATTTCTGACCTCCAAACATCCATAAACATTATCTTGGGACTCAAAAGCACTCAATAAGGGCTGATTAAGAATTTATCTTAAGAACTTAGAGAGCCTACATCCTGACATCAAATCATGTTAACTTGGCAACTTTTTTTTGTTTTAATGACCAGTAACACCAAAACGAGTGAAAGATCTGAAGTGACATTTCTTTAAGAAAGATATAGAAATGGCCAATAAACACATGATAAGATGCTCAGCCATCACCAGAACTAGTTATTCATGAGGGAAATGCAAATCAAAACCACAAAAAGATACTACTGCATACCCACAGGATGGCAATAAAACACACACGCACACAAAACTAAAAATAACAGGTGTTAGTCAGGATGTGGAGAATCTGGAAACATACATTGCTGGTGAGAAGGTGAAAGAGTGCAGCACTGCTGAAAACAGCCTGGCAGTGCATCAAAGTTTAAAGAGAGGTAATCATTTGACCAGCAACTCCACTCCTAGGTATACACCCAAGAGAAGTCAAAACATACGTTTGTAAGAAACTCGTACACAAATGTTCACAGCAGCATTTATTTATACAGTGAAGGGATCTTGCAGAGAAAAATCTGTGAGCCTTACCTTCGTGGATCGTGAACCTCAACAGCAAATTTTTTCTCACGGAAATATAAGTTCTCCAGCTGTTTCCATTGGAATAACTAAAAAAATAAGAAAACAGAAAAGCCACATAACTTTAATTATTCTTACTTTTACTATGTCCATAAATTGGTTTAGTAGTCAATTGCTTGTAAGTTCCCTAAAAGGTACACTGATAAGCTTAAGCATGGATATGTGATTCAGTCTTTTTACAAAAATAACTACTGCCTGAAACCATTTTATTCCTTTTCCTGACATTCTTTAGCTATTAAACTTCACCTCACCAATAAATCTTCTTTGAATAAAACCAAGCATCAGTAGAAGAACATGCATATTATTTTTCCTCTGACTCAACTATATGATAAGGAAATGTGTGTAGATTCCAGTAAAAGGTGTTGATTTCAAATTTAAATGGAAAGATAGTCAAAGGGATGTTTCCATAAGACCAGAGATTACATTTCAAAAGAACACAAAGTGAAAGTAAAAGGGAACACCCCCCCCCCCCCCCCCCCC